GTGTCTGTTCATAAACAGGTACCCTCCCTTAATTTGCAAAATTGGTGCTGCTATTTAAAGGTGATGTGAGCAGAATTTCCTGAAGGACTTAGAGCTAAAAATATTCACTGAGGAACTGCTGCATCTTTGACACATATCTGAATGTGAAAATCTGTGGTTGAAATAAGCATCATTTATTGTAGATACTTTCAGTTTTCCTGCCTTTTTCTGTAAAGGCAGAGAACTTTATACTCGGAAGCTAAGGAAACTACATAATCCTATGCATTTGAATGACATGCTTTGCAGAGATGTCAGCCTCAAACTCAATAAGGAGGTCAATTTGATCAGCATGTAATTTAATCACAGGGACACAGGCACTGTTTTAGATTAGGAATCTGAATGTATAGATTATTTTATTAGATTACTGTCATTCAATTTGGAACTCTTTTTTTGGTGTGTTTACAAAAGAAAATAATGTTTTCATTTGTAAATATTTGTTGGCAAATGACACAGCTGGTAAATTTCCATGATAAACTATTACAGAATTGTTAATTATTTAAAGATATCAGGAATCCATTGAGCCAATCATCCTCTAATTTTTCTCTCTTGAAAGTTATAACTTTATTTTTAAAATCAATATTCATATCTAGTTGGATGGAATACTTATTTACCACCCTATAAAATAGTACTGCTTATCACCCACCCCCCCATAAACCCCAACCAGATAAACAAAAGGACAAACAAAAAAAAGCTAGGACACATTCTTACCTTCAGCTTTCTTCAGAGCACTTACTGCCTTCTGACATACTCTGGGTTAATGATTTGTTTATTGACTACCTACCAATTTGATTACTTCTTCCAGTAGAGTATAAGCCCAGGAGGGCAGGGCTTTTGATCAGTTTTGTTCTCTTGCTATCTCAATAAAGACTAAGATGAAGCATGTATTGTCCTAAATAGTCAGGAAATATATAGGACTTGAAGGACTGAACAGTAATTGTAGTCTACTGACTTCTGTAGTCCTGGAAATGGTGAGGCTTATGTGTGAGAAGAACATATCAAAAGCATTGCATTACTTGACTGGAGAGAAAAGTATCCCATGTCTAACACCCAAATGAGAGCATTTGGTATATATTATATACAGAGTCCACCAAAAAATGCATACACACTTCAGGAAAAGAAATCTGTATAAATATTTTAATGCTAAGTTTATCAGAACAGCATGAGATTAACACAAGTTACCTTGCTTCTACAATTACAATTACCTTTGGCTCAGAGTAGTAGCCATTACCTTCCAGACATTAATTAGTATGGTGAACTGCTGCTTGGGTAACCTTGGTCATTGAGATTGCTGTACATGCATTTTCAATTTCTTCTCCAAGAGCTGGCAGTATAGTGGGTTTTCTGCAATATAAGACATTCTCTAGGGTCCCCCATACTAGGGTAACATCATCTGTTGAAAAAGCAGTAGTGTGCTGCATTTGTTATAATTGGTAAGGCAGTATTGATACAATATTTTTACCTTGGTCAGCTTGCCCATTGCTGGGACACAATACCACACATCCATTCCTTAAAAGCAGAAATGGTTTAATTTGGGTCAGGGGACATTCCTTATCTCTAGATTACAACTAGAAGACTAATAAGGTATAACTAGCAGCCTTCAGAGGTAAAATGGTATATCAGAATATTTGGATAATATAAAAGGAATAAAAGAGTAGAAATAAGACCATACGGGATTGAATCTGATATGAAATTAATTATGATGTTTACAACTCTATAAATATACTAAAGAACTTTGAAATTGTGCACTTTAAATTGGTGAACTTCATGGCAAGTTAATATATTATATTAACATGGCAAGTTAATATATAATATTTCAGTATTTTAAAAGAGTAAGAGATGAATAGTTTACAAATAATGATAAGATGGCAAACATAAACTTATATTTCAATAATAAAACTAAATGCAAATGAAGAAGTTAGCAGCTACTTTTCTTTTTGGTACCGGGGATCAAACTCGGGACCTTACCCTTACTAGGCAGGTGGCAGAACCACTGAGCTAAATCCCCCAGCCCTTAGTAGCTACTTTTATGTGACCTATACATTTAATTATAATAGAACTCCCCATCTTAAACATTAAAACACCTAAGCAATTTGGAAGAAGCAATGAAACTTTTTTTTGTTATTAAGTTTGAGGAATAGTTCATGCTTATGTACCCTAAATTTATAATCAACATGTGAATGCAAATAGAGATATTATATGAATTATCTTCTTTTCATATGATGATAGAATTTAGAATTAGTTACTGTGGATTCTTAACTTTTGTCCTCTGCATTTAAATGATTGTTTCTCTTATGTGAAATTTTACTTTTATTTTAAAATTGAGTACTCTTCTATCAGTATGATAAAACATTTAATGTAATTTCCTACAGACATTAAAATATTTTCTGTAAATAATGAGATCAACAAATTTCTTAAAAATCCCACATAGTTGGATAAGTTATTTGAAAAAAAATATTCATTTGTCTTATGTTTTATGGATTTGGTAATTACTTAAATTTTAACATTGGTCATTTATTGTGACATATTTCCTTTTTGTAGGTTATTTCTGAATAAATCATTCTATTCTCTCCTGTTTGCAGGAATTTTATTAAATAATTCATGTTAACATTAATAAGTGACGTGTCATGAAATCGCTCTGCATCGCTTATGCATAATTACAACTTTCTTGTACTTAACCAGTCTTTTAACCCTGTGGGCCATTTGTCTTGTCTTGTGTGTCTAGCTGACAAATTTACCCCCAGAATATGCTTTACTCTGGTATTTAGATGTGGGATAAGCTGTTTTATTACTTCTGATTCTTACAGGTTATAAAACTGTGCTTCTCTTTTGTAATGTACATCATTAAAGGGTGTCTGTTGCCGATAATAATTAATACTTTTGATTACAGATTGTTTCTTCTGGTGAATCCTACAGTGCTTATCTTTGCACTGATGTGTGTGTGTGTGTGTGTGTGTGAGAGAGAGAGAGAGAGAGAATGTGTATGAATGAATGTCCAATATCTAGCTGTGAATGTGATGTTGTGATTTTCTTTTGATAATCATTGGCATCACTAAAGATATGCCATATCCTATTTTCATGCTAAATATGGAAAGGGAATAATTTCACATACTCTTAAATTATTTTTTCTTAGATGAGAATAAATATAAGAATTTGTCCTTTCAAGGGAAGAAGAGTGCCTGATAACCACTCTACACTGGATAAGCCATTTTGTTTCCTGTTTCTCTAGGATCTAAAAAAAATGGATTCACCACTTGAATATGTTAATATTTAAAGGAGGACTTGAACTTTATATGAAAGTGAGAAAATATATAATGAAAGCCAGGCTTTTCTATTCAGTAAAATGTTCTCCTTTAATGATTATGTTTTTAAAAAATACATGAGAGAGGAGAATAGGGTTAGAATATTTTTTTTCTGAAGACTAGATAAATTGCTAAAGAAATCAGAATGCTCTGTAGTAAGTAATATATTGAATTTTACAAGGGCATCAGAAAACTCCACGTTTATCTGGGTGACACTTTTAATATCACCTTATCACATTTAAAAATACTCAGTCTGTATGTTGCATTTTATGCACCTTGTCATCCAAGAGCTTACTTATCAAGGGATGGAAATTCTTAACTATAGCCCAAAATTTCACCCTAAGTGACATTAACCCCTTAATGAATTTTCTAAAGAAAGAAATTACTAATCACAGTCATACATTGGTTGTCAAATTCAGTTCATTCCAGATTTGTATTCAGTTCAAGAACATATTTTTCCCATTAGACATAATTGAAAACCAAATAATTGGTTCTGAGGCCCCAAAATTACACTTATAAATTCAGCTTTTCAAGACTTTACCAAATTTTGCAATGATTTGGTTCTCCATTTTCTTCTTAGCTTTACTGCTGATATCAGTAACTTTCTTTGGAGTCATGGTTATGATATTTTATGCAAATAAAGTGTGAGAAAGGCAGCATAATGATGAATGTTGTAAAGCAATAATGCAAGCACTATATATTGTCTAGGAGAAAGTGGTGCTTGGAATGAAGTGTCACCCCTTTGTGTTCATGGCGAGACATGATGCCTGTCTCACTCTTGCCTGTACAGGTTTCCTCAAGTTCAGCTAACCTTATGAACACTGAGCTGATTGTTTTTTTGAACTTTGCTGTTCAAGTAGTGGAAAGTTTGAGCTTTGAGCCATTTGACAACTGATTTATCACTGTAATTTATGAATGAAGAGTCTGAAGAAACCTGAGTTCTCACAGGATACCAATCATATATTCTAACACACTGTTGACTTTATCCCTTAGTGATGGAATTTATTATTCTGATTGATTTGCTAGGAATCTGAGAATATTGTATTACTCTGATTGATTTGCTAGGAATCTTAGGACTGACAAGACAGTATTTGTTGATATATTTTTTGTTCTGTTTGCACTGTGGATACTTTAGTCACTTTCTAAAGAGTCACATGATTATAATTTGATTTCTTTATAGTTCAGAATTTCTTGATAAAATTTGAATTATGAAATTTTATATAATACTTGAAAGAATGAGGTAAGAAAAATTTTACTTTAAATGTTATAAAAGTAATTATAGTTAGATGCTGTGTTTCCAATTGATCTTTTTAATTAAATAGAAATTTTTAGTTGTAGTGCCTAAATGAGGATGCCTATTGTGTTTGAGAATTAAGTAAATGTCCACCTTTGATATTGAGTGTATTGATTGTCATTATTTTATATACCTAGTGCACTTTCAACCTAATGCCTTTTGAAGTTCTGATTAGTAAATTAATTGAGTTTTCTGTGATAAGGTTAAATGTTGTTAATTAAAAGTTTGAATACTATTTTATCCTCTAGAATTGAAAGTAGAGTTTGATGCATGGACCACATTTCAGTTGATTTAAATAACAGTCATTGAAATATTGCTAGGTATTTACTTGTTTGTTAAAAATTTATTTTGGCTTTTTCTTTCCACAGCAAGTTGATGTGGAAAAATGGGTATGTGTTTCCATGTATTTACAAAGAAATTGTGATTGGAAAGTGCATGTTTGCTCTTGCCTCTAATCTTTTTATTTTGCTTTCTAGTGTGGCTTGTCTTTTTCGTGTCCAAACTAACTACTCTGTTGGAATGAACAAAGGTTTTTTTACGTCTTGAGTTAGAACCTTACATATCTCTGATTTTGCTTCATCTGAAGTGGGTTCTATTAAAATTCTTGCCATTCCCAATACCATATAGTTGTTAAAGAATTGACTTAATTATATAAATCATTTTGTACTTCTGGCCAATAGGAAGGGTTTTATTATTAGTACTCTGTCTCTTTTGTCAAGAAACAATGATTCTTTAATTTCAAAATCTTACCAGTTGGCCCTGGTATTGTTCCATGCACTGTAGAAAAAGACAGATGTAGTCATATGATGTTAAAAAGTGAAGATGAGTAAGTATATCTTGTGGGGAAATGGAGTTACAGGCTTCTGGAATTTATATTTGAGAACCTATGATGTTACCAGTTGTGTGATATGAGCAAGTGACCTTATTCCATAGTCTCATTTCTTCATCTGCTAAGAGAAAAGGGTCAGTGGAGGGAGAGTGTGAACCAAGGTCTCTTCCAATTCTTAACACCCCAGGATTCTGAATGGAACTTAGAGTCTCACCAAGAAGGATGCCTCCAATGCTCTGCTTTTCCCCCAAAGTACCAAACAATGAAGCTTTTCAAATCGTTGATTTTTTATTTGTTTTTATTTGCTCTGTGACTTAGTATGATGAGCCATTTGGCATTGATTGAACTGGTGGCCTCATTTTGCCTTTATTGTCCTTCTGTACTTTGGATCCTGTTCACTTGATGTGGGTACCTGGAAGGTTTTGCTGCTTTCTCAGTAGCCTTCTGGAGCCTCCCCAGGCATGATTCCCAAACAGCTGCATGGCCACCTGGCTTTTGCTATTCTTTGCTCCTTTTCACTACTTTCAGCCCTTTATAATCCAGAAAGTTTTTAAAATGTTTTGTTTCTATGATGATGAGACCAATACTGATCTTGGAGAACTACTGCTTCTATATTACATTCTTCCTGGGGATAGTTTAAATTCATCATCTATCTCTTTGCAACTAAGCTACTACTACTTCTTTTAACTTTTCCTTTTTGAATTTTCATATCTTCCCCCATGCCTGGTTAAAATTCTGATCTAAGCTTCATATTTTTCTTGTTTTGTAAAAACAAGATGAAATCTTGATTTTTTTTCTGAAAACAGGTATGTCACCTAGTTTTCCCCACTCCCCCAATATCAGATTCCCAAAACACGGCCCTTTGTTTTTCGATATTGACGTCCCTCCATTTTTATTCAGTATTTCTACGCTATCCCCAGATTGCTATTCCTTAACCAACCTTTACTCAAGCCACTTTTCATTCTTCTGCAAATGTAAAGACTACATAAGGAAGGAAATAAAATCACTTTTTTTGGTCATTGTTTAAAAATATTCCCATTTGCTCCTCTGTGCATTTGGTTACTTTTGATCTACTTCACTGTGTGTCTTTTCTCTATTTCTGTAATAATTTCTCATCTTAAAGCATTTATTTCATTGGGTATTTATAAAACTATAAAGATAGATATTGGAAATAGATAATAGAAGATAATGGAAATATCCCTGAGCTCTGAACATCATGAGGCTTAGCTTAGCTAGTGACCAGCTTCTGTGGTCTTATGCAGCCCCTAAAGGACCTTGGTTTATAGGACTCCTTCTTTATAGGATTAGAACTGGACTTCTCCTTTCTTGTCCTCCAGTATTCCTGTTATTTATGTTAATTATTATAGTATTCCTGTTATATTCATTCTGAAATGTGTGCTCATTTATATACATACTGCATGATGAAAAGCTTCTGCAGGGTCTTAGAAGACAAATGATCTGTGTAGACATGTCTTAGTAAATTTCATATAGAAATGACTTCTTTCTCTGAAAGCCTGCACAGTTCAAGTCTTTAAATGTGTCCATGTGAAATTTAGAAGTCCTCTGTAACAGGGTTGCTGGAAAGGTAATAGAAAATAATTTAACCCCCTGCCCACCTACCTCTGGCCTACTAAAACTGTTCCAGGAGGCTCATTTTCCTCTTCCCTGGATTTAAATTAGAATGGATCCCACGACCCCTGTCATATTCAGAGAGTGAAGCACTCTGCAGTCATTTGGGGCCACATGAGTCTTGTTTCAGTATTAAAATGCACTGTCCTGTGTAACAGGTGGACCTGTGTCATTCAAGTTAAGATGTCTGGGATCATTCTGTTGCTCCAGGCAGGGGTGTGGGAAGTGGCTTTGCACAACATCCTCCAGACTCTGCAGACCCTGCTCCATAACTGTGTGCCTGCTTCTGCCCTCTTCAAGGGCAGGTCAGGAGAGAGGTGGCAAGGAGGTTGGCAGAAAGAGCTTTCCATCCTAGTGTCAATCATTGGGCTTGCCAGGTGCTCAGAGTACTCTTCCATAGGCATTTGGCAAGTGCCTTTAAAGGAGTATCTATCACCAGAAGTCCCTGGCCTGCAGTTCTGTGGTCTCAGCCAGATCCTGCCTGGATGCCAGAGGAAAACACTTTTCTCCCCCAGAGCTCATGATGTTTTCTAAGAGGGTTCAAGGGCTACTCCCACTTGTTCACAGCTGCAGACCTACAGAATGTGGCCAACCTCTTACAGCGGCATCTCTGGTGCATCACACACCCTGCCACTGTGTCCCAGCCCTTGGGGACCGGAGTATCCCTGAAGCTACCTTCACTAAGCTGGAGGTGAGGACCAGTTGGGAGGGAGACAGGTCTGGTTAAGACCCTGTTACCTTTTTGCTTTCCGGCCTGGTGACATCCTAGGGGAGAGGAGTCAGCTCGAGGCAGCAGGCACATTCTTAGCTACCACTGTAGGTATCCTCACTAAGGGGCATAACAGTGAGCTTTGAAATGTGGTACTACTGTGCTTGCCATTGTTTTGTTCCGAGACAGGCATTCTGTTTTGACATCTGGTAAACTTGTCTATTTATAATACATTGCATAAACCTGGCTTGAGACCTCCAGTAATTTCATAAAACTTAGGTATATATAGAAATTCACATGGCTTCTTGTAGATTCCTGATAGCAAAATTCTGGATGTATTCATGAAAGGTCAGTCTCTCGCCCTCTCTGTCTTTCCATCCCTCCCTCTCCCTGGTCCCCTCATTTCCTCTACCTCCCTGCTCTCTCCTCCCTCCACCAGTGTCTCTTTGGGCATCAGTGCACTTGTTTAAACCTCATCTCTCTGAGTTATCAAATACTGCTCTTCACACTTTAAAAGAGAATAACATTTCTGAGTTTTAGATGAAAAAGTAATGAACTGTTATTTTCCTCTGCTCCTTTCACTCTCCCAAGCTCTTCCCTGAATTATAGCAGTGATTTCCAACCTGGAGGCCTCAGACTTGAGGTCATAGCTGGGGACAATGAAGTAACGGGACATACTGTGAAGTCATGATAAATGAAACTTTGTCTATTGACCAAATGATATCTTGTAGTTTATTCTTTTAAAAGGTAGCCTGATGCTGTTGGAGTTAAGATAGTTATTTCAAATGTTTCTAACTCAATAACTGTTTGAAAAACTAATTAATTTTTACACGTAATGATATAATATTTTAAAGACATACGTGTAGGTCTTTGAAATGATTTCATATAATCAAGATTCATTCATTTTGAAATGATTTGAAAAAAGTATAGATTTTTTTATATATAGAGAAAGTCTATATCTTGTTACAGACTTTTTTATATGCAGATGGTCCTCTGAATGTGGGGCAGTCTTCACATGTCTTCAAGTTATTTCCTCAAAGAGGTCAATTTATTGTTTTTGACCTAGAGAAATTTTCAGTTGAGACAAACTTGGAAAAGAACAAAGCTCTCCATACCTCTGCTACTTCATATTTTAGACATCTGAGAGCTCTGTGATATATAAACATGTGTCACAGAGATAAAATGTCAAATTTATAGTAGCTTATCAGAATCATTTATTTTCCTTTAACCGTCTAAAGAAGAACTAGATAATTGTACATATATATGTCAAACCCATCACAGTGAAGGAAGACAGCCCATTTAAATCCTGTCTGCACAGTTATTGATAGGTTGGAAAAGACAACAGTTGCCACAAATCTGTCAAAAATATAGTGTGTTCTTTTTTAACATGTCTGCATACATGCTCAACCAGATGGCAGAGTGACAGGAAAGCACTCTGTGAAAGCCACAAGAGCCACTTCTATGGGAGACAAGATCATGTCAATGGAAAGTATCATATATACATTTGCTCTTTATGGATCGAAAGTGGAGCCCTTTCTGATATTTTCTGCACCTATAATCAACATGTCTGTAGTCATTACTGTAATCATCACTGTAGTCCTGAATATTTTAAACAGGGAAATCATAGAAAGTGAAGGATTTATGTAGGATATGGCATCACAAGAGTAATAGTTGCCATATTTCACAAATGTATATCCACATATCCTGTTAGATAGTTCATACTGGTATGTGTTTGGAACTTGTAATTGCTCACATTAGATTACCTTTGTGTCCTAAAAATTATTGGGAGCAGCATTAATCAAATATAGTCACTATCAAACCCTAGTATTTGATAGTGAAATAATTTTTCCTTTTCTCAACATAGTGAAATACCAGATATTGCCTTGTTAACAAAGGAAATAACACAGTTGAAGGGTTATAAGGAATCCTAGTATCCTAGTATCTTGCTACTTGGAGAGAAAAGATGGCAAAACAGGCTTACATTTGATGAACATTTTGTATGTAGAGTAGGAGATTCCATCTCTCTATTGGAAAATTCATGCTGGAAGGGCTCCTCCACCCAAGTTTTGCCCTGTTTTCTGAGTATTGCCCTTGATAATTCTTTTTAATGACCAGCCACTCTCCTTTGTTGCCAGTTCCTTATCTAGGTACTTTTGGGGAGTGATATTGGTAACAGTTCATGTAAAAGTCCTAAGATAGATCTTTTATAGAATTAATAAGTTTTGAAATATTTCATTTCATTACACTGAAATATCAGTTTTAAAAATCAATATCAAGTTTTTAAAATTTTATTGGTACATTTTAGGTATACAGTGTAATGAGATTCATCATTAGAAATCTGCACCTTTATATAATCTCTCTTGGTTATTTTTTCCCCCTTCCCCTGCCCTCCCTTCAACCCCTCTATCCCTCCCTATTTACAAAGACTTTGTTTCCATTTTTTCATTTTTTCATATTAATTCCATTCCACTCTATCCTTTCCCCTACCCCTCCCACTTCCCCTTTGCCCCTTTTCTTCCTATTTCACATTATGTATTATACCATTTAGTCCTTATTTACACTTTCAGTTTCTCACACTAGAGAAACTATTTGGTATTTACACGTGTGTGTCCTATTTATTACACTTAAGAGTATCTCCTCAGTGTGTATCCATTTAGCGAAAAAGTCTGTAATTTCTCATTTTTTATTGCTGAGCAGTGTTCCATTTTATAAAGAAACTACATTTTCTCGATCCAGTCTGCAGTTGATGGGCAATCAGGCTGCTTCCACGTCTTAGCTGTTACAAATTGTGCTGCTGTGAACCTGGTGCACATATATCACTGTGGTATGATTCTTTTAATTCTTTTGGGAAGATACCCAGCTGGGGAATAGCTGGGTCAAATGGTACTTTCAGTCTTAGTTCTTTGAGGTATCTCCATAGTGAAAAATCAATATCAAGTTTAAACTCAAAGGCGTCATTAATGGTAAAGAAACTTTTATACATCACCTGAATTACTGTTTCTTTGTACTGATAACAAATGGAATCTAATTATGGCTTCTCCCCAGGTCTGATAACTGCTAACAATGTTCAGAGTAAAGTATTGCTATTTGACTTGTTTTTCTCTTCATGATTATTTGCATTTGCTAAGAAAATCTCTCGGGTCTTTTAGATCTTTCGTATCCAGTGACTTAAGCTTATAGAACAAAGATGATCCTGCTGCTTTTTGACATCCATTTGACTCCCAGGGCCATCTATACTTCTGCTAAAATGTCACACTAGCTATTGCTCTCCATGTTTTCCTTGTTAATGGAGGTGGAGGTGGTTATGTCCCAGCTCTTGTTCAGGTCATCTGAACCTGTCAGTTCTTCAGTAATTAGACTCACCCTCAACACTGAGTTACTGCCGCTTGCAGTTTTACCCTGCAGAACGAAAATTTTCCCCCTTTATTTTTCAGGGCAAATTTATCATTACCCCAAAAGTTCTTCTAGGCCAGAAAGCAGGTCAGGACCCATGCTGTGTGCTTGTCATTGCTCTAATCATCACTTCCTACTCTACTTCATCCAATGAAATTTTCATGAATGAAATAAATCAAATTTACTTCCTTGTTAAACTTAGTGTAAGCATAAAACGATTATTTTCCACACCTAAAGGAGCTATTTTCTCCAATGTTTACCTTTCTACATGTTTCTTTTCTTTCCATTATGTTAGCTACTTTTAGAGGGATTTTCTTATTATTCTTTAGGTTTGTTGCTTTTTATCATCCCTAAGCAGTGTTTACATTGAGATTAGAATAATGTATTCATCCTTCTTGTCTTCATGTATTTTGCTTTCTTCTTTGCCCCTGCATTATCCCCTTGGAATATCTCATAATGCTATAACTTTGATGATATACAGCACAAAAGTCAAATTGACCAATAAAAAGAAATTTGTACAAAAAGTCCATGTTAATAATACTGCAGATAATCTTTCATGCTCTTGGTTATTTCTGAAAATTATGTGTGTCTGTTGCATCTGCTTTGCTTTCTCATTCTACAGATGGATATTTTACCCTTTGTTAATATGCAGAAGTCTTTCTATTTTATTGTATATGCAGATTTTCTCCCCTGTGTCTTATGCTTCCTACAGTAATACAGAACTTAGGAATTCTGAAGAGCAGACCTTGTAACTCTACTGACACTCTTTTATCTGTTACAGTTTTAAACTAGTTCAACTTAGAGAACTGATGAAATCAGACTGTGTTTTTTAAGAAAACTCTCCCAAGCTTGTCTAATTAAAACAATCTCATGAAGACTGTATCTCTTATAAATCATGTGTTGTAGCAGAGTGTTGGATTTTTGTGTTCCTTTGAATTAAAGGATAAAATTGATTTTTCCTAATTCCTCATTGATGGATATTTCCATCATTAATAAATCATATATAGGCATGTGTTTGGTCAGTTTTAGCATGGAAAATAAGTGTGCTGATATAATTCACTCTTCATAGCAGTTACATACATGTAACTGAACATGCTGTATTTTCTAAGCCAAGAGTGATTTTTTTTGTATAATTTGCCCTTAAAAATATAGTATTGAAAATCGAAGATATAAGTCTCAATGGAATTTCCATTAGTAATATACATATTGCTCTGTATGTATGTTTCAGAGACAACTGTAATTTTATAAATATCTATGTGGAAAAACCTTCCTTTGTGGTTTAAGACCAGTGTGATTATGTTATCATTTTACTTCAGGACTTCGATACGTTCCTGATAACTAAATTCATCCTTCTGTTTGGAAATACAACATTGTCTTTCCTTCTATATTCTTTTTCATCTTTGTACTTCTCCTAGGAATAAGTCAAAGAAACTTTAGGGAATCTTATAAAAATAGAGGAATACATAGCATTTAATATTTTGTAGAACAAAAGAAGAGGTAGAACTTTTTTCTAGAAGTTCTACAAAACTTTTGTAGAACAAAAGAAAAGGAGACAGTTATTTTCAAAAAAAAAGAGAAGCATTTTTGAGAACTTTCTTTGAAGTTTATCTCTGACAATATGCTGTGTCTAAGAAATTGCTGAATTACTTTGCATGAAAGATGCACATCTCATTGCAGCTTATTAGTTTAAAACCCACTTTACCATTTTTTAATTTGTTTTTAATAAAACTAGTTGTGTTGCTACAGTGTTTGTCACTGCATTTATTTGCAAAACAGGAAATAAATTTTTTCTATTAAGCATTTTCAGAGGTTAAGATTATACTCCTACCTTAGTGCTTAGGTATGTTGTACATTGAATCACGCATTGCAGTAGGATGGCATGTATTCACAGAAAACAGAAGAACTAGTATAAAAACATTTTCTAAAAGAGTTTTGCTTGCTACAGCTTTTCTCTAGCATGTAGTTGATAAGTTTTGTTGCAATAACACAGTGATTTAAAAAATATTTATCATTACATAGGTCCATTTAGGACAATGAACTCTTTACGTATAAGAGAAATTTAAAAATAAGTCTTTGAAATGATGTATATTTAATATTTTCTTTCTTTTCCTTATGTCCCTACAGAAATTCATGATGAAGGTAAGAATTTGGATCATCTGCTATGTATGTAATATTTAGTAAGTTTGAAGCATGGTTATACATATTTGCTTTGTCTTTAGTTATTGAACTGTTCTTTACATTTTAAACTTTAAAAAAATTAAATCAGACTTTGGAGCTTTTAAGGTAAATAAATTATCTATTTTGATTTAACAACTTAAACAACGTTGGACATTTATGTCGTATTGTAACATATTAATCTTAGCCTTAGGAATTTCTCTCATAGATGCATATTTTTTATAGCTATCCACTGGGAATACTCATTTGAGGAATAATGGTGGCTGTGGAGTGTGTCAGCACTCTTGCATGAATATAATCGGAAATTCTCACACTGGGAAATTAGAAGAGATGCCAAGAAACTACTTTGCCTTACTCTAGGAAAAGTGAAAATAATTCAGCCCCTTTCCTTTTCTCAAATAAACTAGAAAGTGAAATCTTTTAAGAGTAGACAAATGAAAAGAGAGATAAAATATATGGTCCTGTCTTTGAGGGTAGATGTTGGGAAAACCAGGAAGAGCAGAGTGCAGCTATATTTTTCATGTGTCATTGAAAAATTGTGTTTCATTTTAATAGACCCATTACATTTCTCCTGAAACTTTCATAGGACTTAATTTTTTATCTTCAAAGCCAAAAATATAGATATGATATTTATATTTAGTTAATAAAGGCTTAATATAATTTGTAATCTCAAAAGAATGTCATTTTGAAAGATAAAAATCTTCAAGAAGTGTTCATCAAAATTCTGCACATAGATTGAGGTTACTTTCAGAATTGGAAACAAATTACTCTTGCCAGTCTACTGAATTACTTAGTTAAGTCTGTCATTTATAGTTTACAAATCTCTGGACTAGGTGTATTATGGGGTACTCCAAACTGGATCAATATATTGACTAACAGTAAGAAATCTGTTTGGATGGATGACAGAAGCAGGCATTTCTTTGATATCAACAAAGACATGAAACGTCTTCCAAAATTTCAAATAACTTCAGCTCTTATTTTTCAATAGGAAATATGGTATTATTACATTATAAGGCGAGGACATTATCTGCTAATTTAGATTTATCATGATGGAAGGGTTTTGGTTGAGAAAATATATGCAGCAGCAAAACATGAATATATCATCTCCTTGTAAATATTATTGGTGAAATTGAGTTTGAAAAAATTCAGTTTTTCTTGCTAAATCTGCATTTAATATATTCACTTCATCATTTCATTCCCACGCCAATATCCTATCCAATATCATATCTACTTTCTCTGGGTAAGTGGAATAATTACCTAAAACAGTTATCTTTACTCTTGTGCAAGAGCAGATTCATATAAAAACAGGTGTGAATAGAAAAAGTGGTGTAGATTCAGTTAAAACCATATGGTATGCCTCAGATGATTTAATAAGGTTTTGTTTCTGTTAACTGCAAGGCCAGAAGCCAATGGCTTATTTTCATACCTGCATTGGATGATCTGGAAAGATCAGGATTTGATTAAGGGGAGGGCATATGTATGCAGTTAGAGTACTTCGAGCCACGTAACAGGAAAAGCATGCTGAATATGATTTATCTTTCACTTTTTCATCATGATTTTGTCATTTCATGTCTGGAAAGGCATTAACAGCTGGTGGTGGCAAAGCTATGGCATACGTGTTATTTGTTTTTCTTTTAAGACAAAAGATGTTAATGTATGAGTTGTTTTTTTCAAACTAAAACCTCAATATTCAGGTTTAATTGAAGTGTTGGCACTTTTCAGTGAATAAGTGGGTTTTGGGTTGCAGTTTGGGCACTTGTCTCCAAAAGGTTTGCCATCACAGGCTTAGCACCAAGTGGCTGTTTCACTGTTGCAGGAGCCCATTCCTGCTTATTGGTGCTGAGCAGTGATGCCTTGGTAATGCCAGGAGCCTGATGTATTCCCTGGGGGACCCTTATGGTTGGGACACCAATGCAAGTAAACCATTCAGTGTCAAATGGCTATATTGACATTGCTTACCTGGCTTTGTTAGCAGATTGTTCCCTGAAGCGAGGCTTCTCATTAAGGGAATTCCAGGCCCACACTCCCAAGCTGGCTCTGTGTATTCTGTGCTGTTCAAATTCTTCTGGAGTCATTCTTAGATTATGGGAGGGGGTAAACACAGTGAGAGTTTTCTCCCTGAAACAACTATCTTGTCTATTTTCCAAGTATTACTACTTATATTTGAAGATACACTTAAAAGCTTCTCCACTTGAATATCTGAGTGCCCTGAATGAAATGTTGTTTCCCACAATTTCTAACATTGGCAGTGTGATTCAGTGTTGCTTGAAGTAATAAACCTTTTAAGAATCTGTTGTTTAACCAGCAACATTTCATGTGACATCATAGCAGTCAAGGGATATACAGAGGTTCCTCTGTGAAGTTTGATCTGTTTTAAAAATGTCACATAATAAAGGCCTGAAATTTTTGGAAATGCCCTACATTGATTAGCATAGCATTTTTGTACAAGCAAGATGATTATGAAAATAGAAAAACCTTAAAATATTTAGATGTTTGATAGCTATTGAATTAAATGGCTTTAATCAGTAATACAAGGTGCAGCTTCATAAGCCAATCTATATTTCAAACATATATATAGAAAACATAGCCAAAGAAACCCTATAAAACAAATAAGAATAAAACATAGAGCCAGTAATTTTCATTTGCATATAAATCTCTTTAGTTGCATATAAATCTCCATAATTATTAATCTGATTTTATATTTTATGGGTTTCTGACCTGGTACATTTTAAGTTTATGACAGTAATACTTCAAATATAGCTGTAATAATTCAGTTTGTCTCCCTCTCCACAAAGAAGAATAACAAGACAAGTAAGTTATGCTCTACTAGAGAATGTTGTTCTACAATGAATATAAATATAGTATTTACAATAAAGTTTTTGCTTATTGTGTGAGCTCCCTGATTTGACATTTTTGACAAGAGCTTAGAAATCTAAAGATGTATGAATGCCTAATAATACAAATTGGCATTAAAATAAGTTGTGAAAAACTTGAGATGAGTTTTCTTTATGACACGTGCTCACGTTGTGTTTGAAGGTTTGGACATTTTTGTATTCTTATATTTTGTGTTTTATGTTATGTAATTAATATTAACCATGTTGGTCATCTTGGGAGTAATGAGACCAAACCTATACACAGGACTGGAAAAAAAACAATTTTAACTGATATTTTCAAAAAGTCAAATTTTACCTTTTAGTAAATGACACTGGGCTCTCCTATGCCAGGAATGCTTAAGTTACTGGGAGGAGTTTGGAAATGGTAGGGGCTGCCCCCCACAGAAGAGAACAGCAGCCCGTTAATATACAGCCTCATCTTCTGCAGATGACTGAGTCTAAAAGATGCTGACTTCAGGCGCACCTGACTCTGTGTAGGGGTCTGGAAGGAGGGCTGGGGACAGGGACAGCTTCCTAACTGCACTGCTGGCTCTAGGATGAGGAGAGATGAGCTGAGGTGCAGTGAGTGACAAGCAGCATTTTCAGGAACAGATAGGGCCTACACACATTTTTAGAAGTACTCCCAAGATGTGTCACTACAGAAATGCTTTTCCTAAAAGGACCTAATAATCCATCCTATAGGTAGATGGAGGTGTTAAGAAATACACAAAGGTATAGTTCCCAAGCTTCTACTTTCTTTTGTCTTTGGTGCTAGTGTGCAGATATTTTGAAGGGAGCTAGAGAGGACTCAGTAAATATTTGTTAATGAATAATTCGAGTTTTCCAAGAACACTTTCATTTACAAAGCAGAGGAAAAGAGACTGCGAGCTTATTATGTATAAGATCTTTGGCACTAGAGACTGCAGCTCTCATATAGTGGATACCCAGTGGATATTTTTTGAATGAATATAAAAGTGTTTCCTTTGTTTAATTCTATTTATGAGAGAATTAGCATGTATTAGAGTATACATGACTTTGTGTGAATTGAAGATTTATTTGTGCTGCATAAAATTTATTTTCCCATTTCTCTTTTCAGTTGGTATATTTAAAACACTGCTTACCCTGCCAATGTTTTAAATTTCAAGGAGCAATTTGTAACCCTTGAAAAACACCAAGATAATTTTTTTCAAGGTGTCTATCTCCTCAAGTTGGTCCTGACCAGCCCCCAGAGCCCTGTGTGGCAGTGTTACCCTGTGCTTGTCATTTCAGGCTGGGGTAGCTCAAGGAGAATGAACCCTTGTTCCAGAGTGCTGAATTATTACTCCTTGTGATACGTCATCCAGCAGTGATGACCTTTTCTCGTTGAAATTGCAATGGGGAATCCCATAGTCTACCCAAGGTATTGTAGAATCTTGATAGAATACCCTTAACAGTGGCTATCCAATGGTTGGTTTAATCAGCCTCATAAAGTACCAAAAGCTCCTTGCATCCTAGGAAGTCCATAAATATTTGTCCAATTAGTTTAAAGCAAAGATCCAAACCAAATTTATTTATTTATTTATTTATTTATTTATTGGGGGGTGATAATCCTAAATTGACAAGGATCTTTTTTTTTCCCCCATTAAGTTTATTGGTACATTTTCGGTATAAAATACAATTACATTCATCATTGGGATCTTGTACCATTACATGAGTCTCTTGGTTCTTATTTTTTTCCCCTTCCCTTGCCCTCCCTCAGACCAAATTTAACAAGAAAACTGGCATGATTGACAAAATTAAAAAAAAAACAAACAGAAAAGAATCAACATGCTTCTTTGGATGGATCCTGTACACACAATCATTTTGATAAATGTTTGTTGAATAAACAAGTTAAGCAACCTGCCTAGCAGTGGACAGTCTACATTTTACTTTCTTTTGAATCAGAGCCAGTTAGAGTAGTTGCATTTAAAATGGCAATTAGAGCAAAAGAAGTGCAGATCAGATGGCAGCAATGGTATTCATTTTTTGTTAACAGTGACCTCTTAGATCACAAAATTTAGTGTGGCTTACTCGCATAGTTCTTAAGAGTCCTGTTGACACTAATTCTACAGCACAAATTAGCATTTAAGTAGTGAGAAAGAATCATAAAATCTATAGTTGTCTACTTGTATACAAATCTCTAGTCGATGGGCTACGAGTGTACCTCATAGGAAGAGCATGTGCACAGCATGTGCCAGGTCCTGGGTTCAACTCCTATAGTTGAAAGAAAGCTCAGACAAAAATATATATCTGGATATTTATATATTCATATATTTTCATATATGTATAACTTGAATGTTGAAAGAAAGCTTCATAGTAAAAGCAATACTTTTTGGTTGAATCTAAGACCTTGTTCTTCACTTTAAAATGTCTTGTTTTAGTTGGTGTAATTGTCAGTTGTTATTAGAGTTTACTGGATTTTATAGCTTTGGAGATTTAATCTGGTACGGAAAGGAGAGCTCCTACAAGTAAGACAAAATAGAGTGGTGCCTACTCATAATTGCAGCAACTCAAGAGGCAGAAGCAGGAGAAACACTTGAGCCCACTAGTTCAAAGCCAACCTCGAAACATAGTGAAATTCTGTCAGTTAAAACAAAAATAGTCTAAACCAGATTAGGTAAATAAAACTACTCCTGGCCACCATAAGTCAAATGTATCATAGAAAAAAATATTCTCTGAGTTGAGCCTCATTTTGTAAAGAAACTCATTTTTTTGAAATAGATATTTACCTTTTGTTCTCATTAATACTTTTTTTTAACATCTTTTAAGAATAGTTCTGAACTCAAGTTCCGTCTGTCAAGAGCTAGATCAAATGCTAACCCCATAGTAGAGGCTTCCTTGATAGCTGTACTCCAGTTTAAGAATTGTTTACACTGTACTTTGTTTTTACAATTATTTTTACCACATTCTTTCCTACCAAACTTTTCCTAGAGGGCAGAGAAGCATTTTACTGACTTAAGTTTTCTGATTTGTGTTTTCTCTTCTCTCTGTAGACTGCCCAAGGCGGGGGCCATCGGACTCTCCTCTATGGACATGCCATTCTGCTGCGCCACTCCTACAGTGGCATGGTGAGTGGGCATCTGAGTGCATCTTCCTGTGGGCATGGTGATCCACTTGGGAACATATAGTCAGGCAATGTTGGTAATATCATTTCTGCAGTCGTATGAATTGGCTTTAATGTGCATGTCCTTTTATATTTTTGTACCCTGTTTAGTTTTCAGAGGTGAAGGTTAGCTTAGGTGACATTTAAAGTCCTTCTGGCATTACCTTATTTTTAACATCTTTTGATAGAGTCATTTTAAAGTCAAATAAATTCTTTTCTAAATTTGTCTTAAACAGTTCATTTATAAAAGAATCAAGACATCTTTCTAAGAGATGCCATAAAAATACTATTTGTGTGCTCCAGTGTTAAATTTAACCACTTCTTTTTCTTTCTGGCTAGGTGCTTTCATTCCTTTTTTCACATCAGTTTCTTTCACCCAATTATCCATTGGGCCTCTCTCAGGCACTGTTTTCTCATTCCCAATTTCCTATATATTAAAAAAGTAACATACATGTTTTAATATGTTTTATAATTGCTTTACTTTAACACATTATACACATGTGTAATATATGAAATATATAAAAGTTTCATTCCAATATCTTAAAAGCATTTTAAATTGTAAAAAGAACACATTTATTTTATAATATTTGGAAGAAAATTTTTTTATTATTATACTAATGAAATTATACTAATCTGAAAAAACTATTGTTAGAAAACTTATGAGATTATACTAATATGATAAAACTATTACGGTACTAATATGAGAAAACTGTTGGAGATTTTTAAAAGCATTTTTTCTAAAATATTTTACATAATTTAGATATTAGTATATGACCAAATTTATATCACGATTTTTAACACATTAGAACATGAGTGTTTTCATATTATTTAAATTGTTCATCAGTATAATTTTTAGTGGCTATTCAATAGTCAGATATCTAGAAGCACAATAAAATCAATCATTTCTTTTAAAAAGGAGATAATTCTCATATTGTATGTCTTTGTTACTTGTTGCTGAGACAAAATATTGGACACCCAAAGTAAATGGAGGTAAAGTTTATTTCGGCTCATAGTTTGTAGAGGTTTCAGTCCATAATTGGCTGGCTCCAAGGCAGGCTGGCATGGCAGAGGGGCATCACAGAGGAGAAACAGCTCATGGCAGGCAGAAGATAGCAATAGCATTCAGGCAGCAAGCAGCAAGTGACAACCAACCAAACACTCTCTTTTTGTCCTTTGTATCTTGTTCAGGCTACCCACCTTTAGGGCAGGTAGCACTCACACCTAGGGTGGGGCACCATTAGTCATACCCAGGACTATGACAAACCAACCAATGGACTAATTTACTAATCACACACCCTTGATCCCAGCATCACACACTCCATATCCAGCCTCCTCTGGAAAGCCCTACCTATGACCACTTGAGGCTTTAGGGGAGCATCTAGACACAAATCATAACATTGTATAAAGATTTAAACAGCCTCAATACCAAGATCAAGCACACACAAACTATTAATCTCAATTATGGATATTGGTGTAATAATTTGATTTTAAATGTCAGGTTAGTAGAAGTAAGAAGTATAGGAGCAAAAGTATATGAAAACTATAGACATGACTTTAATGATGATTTAATATCATTTTTATTGATGTGCTATACCACATAAGTAAAGTTAAATAAGAAAAAATGTTATCGTAAAAAGTGCTGAAAAAATCAATAAAATTCAATTCACAGCATTCCTAATGAAAACTAAATATTATTTACTCAGTGATAAAGAATATCAAGATATCAATAGACAATACCATAATTATCAAACCATTCTTGATAAAATTACCTAAAATCAACAAATAAACCAAAACAAGAATACATTTTATTTGCCCTTTCTATCTAACATTGTTCTAATAGTCTGTGCTAACATATAAATACAGAAATACAGTTTAATAGAGTGGCTGGTACAAGACGAATATATGAAAACTTGGTACAGAACAGTCATACATTAACATTTCATAGAAAGAATTCCTTTTTTGATAGCATTCAAAACTCATAGACTGAAAATTCCTCTTAGAATAGTTAGGAACCTGAACTTAATGTTTTGGTAGAGTTTATTTTCACTTTACTGCATGCAGACAGCATGGAGTACCTTACTCAACCTCTGTAAGTCTGCACTTGGGTCTGAAAATGTCATCCATTCTATAAATGTTATTTAGCATCTACTGTGTGCTAGGCATTGTTAGAGATCCTGAATATAGTACTGAATAAAATGAAGTTCTTGCCTTTGTGGAACTTAATTAACATTTAATAGAATAACTATAGTAACTACTTTAGTGTTGCTATGAAGATTAGAAGAATGCCTGAGTGCGGATAGTGCCTATTCTATAATATTATTGAGGAATAGTACAGATAATTTTAATAGTCCTTACCTCATGTTTTTGCCTGAGAAGTCTGAACATTATAAAGTTGTTATTTTTTCCCAAAGACAGATGTTTAAAACACTTGAGATAAGTCTATAAGCCCATTGGGCTGCCCCTCTGAAGGTCGGATTCACATCCTGCACTGGCTAAAGACAGATTTGGGGACTCTTGAAGCCTCTTTCTTTGTAGCTTTGGGAGCTAGTACTTTGTAGTTAAGAGGCTGAATCAGTCTCCATGTCAGTTTGATTTCATGTACCTCCAGGCACTGGCTTCCTCTTGCCATGCCAGCATATCTGCCTCCCATCAGCTCAGCCCCTGCCTTCTCATTCATGGATATGGATTTAGCTAGATGGGCCCTATTTCCGAATAACAATTCCATAGGGTTTGCATTAAATGTTTAATTTTATTTGCATTAAACTAGAGTGGCCTGGGCTTGCTCAGGCCCCAGCATTGTCTCTGGGTACTCTTTCTGGCCCCTGTGCTTATTGGCAGTGCACTTGCTTCAGGCAGATGGTAGTATATTTTAAGTTCATACCAGATTCCTTTTTGTGTTCTCATTCTTGTAACACTTAACAAGGTATTTGAGTTGAAGGGGGGGAAAGGAAGTTAGCCTGATAAATGATCCTAAACTTTATGTCCAAGAGTATACAGTTAGGTACTGGTTATGGTGACTCATTCCTGTAATTCTAGCACTCAGAAGGCTGAGGCAGGAGTATTACTGTTATATGAAACCTTAAGGTTGAGACGACAAAGGAAGTAATGGTATGGTGAAAATTTGATTACTCTGGAAGAAATGCATACATGTATACACATCATGAGACCTCTATTGTTCACACCAAAGTCAATACTGGAAGGATTTCGCAGAGTTAAAGATTTTTTAAAATGAAAACAAAACTAGAAGATGAAAGGGAAGACTTTTCAAATTTCTGTTTGGGAGAGATTTCTGACTGTCAGATCACATTGAGCTTTGGCTGATGAACATGAATATCACATGAAGTGGGAGATGTAGAAAAACATCCCCAGTTACTTGTCTTCTTGTACTGACAGAGCACATTTCCGTAGTTTTTTATGGGGGGTCATATTTCGTTTAGAGTGTCGCTTCTAATGCATGCTGCATAAGTACTGTTCTGCGCAGGAATTTAAAAGCTTGGCTTTGTGTAGAGGCATCCAGATTGTTAGAAAAAGACTAATCAGCAGAGATAGACAGGTGTCAAATTGCTTGTCAGAATAGGATTCGGCTATGACTACCAACGTTTAGTGACATCTACTGATTCTGTGTTTTCAGTATCTGTGCTGTCTGTCTACCTCCCGGTCCTCAACTGATAAGCTGGCTTTTGATGTGGGTTTGCAAGAGGACACCACAGGTGAGAGCCTTGCGCCACCACGGTGAAGCCGTTTTCAGGGAAAGCCTGGCTGGCACTGGGTGGGGAGACGGATGTTATGATACATGATCACAGATGCATTAGACACATATTTTTATGGGTAGAGAAATGGAAAAGAAATGATTTTTTTCCCTAATGTTTTTGGTAGAAGGAGGAAATTTGGTAGAAGGCCTGGTCAAAAAATTCAGTGTGTGTTTAAATGAAAATTTATTACAGTAAAAGCCATGTTGCCATTCATAACCCTCAAAATATCCCCCTCACTTTGAACCCACTCATCCTATCTTCTGCCACTTTCTGAAGCAGTTCTGGAAGTCCTCCATGTGCCTTTTGTGACTGCTTCCATGTCCTGAATCCAAAACATTTACAGCAATTTCTGTCAATTAGAAACGTTGTGGCATGTCCCTATTCACCTTATTCACCAGACCTGGCATTCTAGAACTTCTGAAAGATAAACATTTTGAATCAATTCAGAGTACGTGGGTAGCCACAGCAGCACAACTGTGGAAAAATGAGTTCCAGAACTGCTGCAGAAAGTGGCAAGGATGACAGAATGTGTTTGCCGCGAGCGGGAGCGTGTTGAGGGGGATTCAATGACAATGTGTCTTTTACTGTAATAAATTTTGGAAATATTAAACATTCACCTTCTTCTTTGACCCTACCTCATATATATTTTTCTTACTGGTTATCCTCTTGTAATTACTTGCCTATTGAGACTAGTCTTCAACCCCTGTTCTTCCAGTATATTTAGAGAACAAAACCAGAGCTTACTTGATTTACTTGATGTGAAACATATTAGTGTGCACTGATTAGTTTGTGAAGTATTACTGCATGTCTCTCTCATCTTTCATCTTAAAAATATTTTTAACAATGAAAATGTGACATTTGCAATCTCAGCATTCAAACAAAAAAGTAGAACCTGAAAGTCTTCATTTCTCTGCTCTCGAATATTCTGCTGCATATTTGTCTAAATAGACATGTGTTTCCATACTTTTAAAATAAAAAAATGTGTATATTGAAACACAGCTGCTTCTGGAAAATTACAATAAAACAACACAAGCTTTATTTGTATTCTTTTTCTCCTTTCTTTGAGAACTTTACATCTATCTATATATCTCTGACAATTTGTCTTGTCTTCACAGTGGGCACGTATGACTTTTGTAATTAAAGAATATATCAAGTAGACAAAAGAATGGAAGGAAATAATCCAGATTTTATTAAGTTCTTCCTTCCAAGCAAAGGATTAAGCCATCCCCCACCCTCCCTGAACCTTTAAAAAATATTTTCTGCTGACCTGGGGTTTTAATGAAGTGACTCAGTTGTAGAGCACTTTCCCAGCAGGCTCACAGCTCAGAGTTTGATCCCCTCCCACCACAAAAAAGAGAATCTAGTGTTCTATTGGATATAGTAGGGTGACTATAGCAATTATGATGTAAGTAAGGTAAAATAAAAAATCTAAATGTTTTCACTTAAATGATAAATATTTGAGGAGATAAAAATCTTTAATGTGATTTGAACATTATACATTATGTGTATGTATCACATGTATCACTATGTATCATGTGGTACCCCATTGGTATAATTTTTAAATTTTTGTATGTCACTTAAAAATAAATGAAAAAGGCTTTCTTGTATTCTTTAAATTTTCAAAATCCATAAATTGGATAAAGATAAATCTGTACCGACCTAATTAACTTCTTCATGGACATATTTTGCATATGAACTTTTGAGAATCCTTAGCATCAAAAAGATAAATGTCTTATTCTGATTTTTATTTTATTTTTTATTGGCTCAGTTACTCTATTTTTGCTGGTTTTTTAGTTTTCTCGTTTGACAATGTATTTGTCTTAATGTGTTTTAGTACACAGTTAAAAAGAATATCTTAAGTTTGGTTTTCAAAAGAAGTGTAAGACATGACCTAGAACTTGTGTTCATATGCTGAGATGATTACATAAGAGACATTACAAAGAAGTCCCTCTTCCTACTCCGTGATCCCTTTAAGCTGTCTTTATCCTGAAGCTCTCTATTTCTTCTGAATTTTAAAAATTATGTATATCCTTTGTAATATACTTGCCTAAACTAAACTTACAAGGTGGGTGATTTTTTCTTCTTATTGATGTATCTCCAGCTACTAAAGCAATGATTGGCAGATAGATGTACATTGTAAATATTTGGGTGAATGAATGAAAAATACTTTTTACCCTGGAAATGTGGTTTCCGAGAATGAAGATAAGGAATTCTGTCTGGTAATGGGCAAATAAGATTGGTTTGTGTAAGAAAATCATCACAAGGCACAGATTACCTATTGACTGTAAGAATGCTGAAGAAATATTACTGGATGATTCATAGATTTGTTCGTGCAAAATTAATTTTTATTGAGTGCCTCCAATATGCTAGTAGAGCTGGGAAAACCCCAGTGAACAAAACTTGCAGCATCCCTGCTGTTCTGAAGTTTACATTCTGACATTACAGACTTAGTCAAGAAAAAGAAATGTGTTAGAGAAAAATAATGGATAAGAGAAGAGAATGGTAATTGCTAGATAACACATATTGGTAGAACACCATTGCCATTGTTTTGTAGACATTTAGATTTTAAAAGTAATTGGGAACAGATTACAGAATTGTGTGCATCTGCTTACATAACAGGACTGACAAATGGTGAATGAACCTGTGGTTTGTGTTTATGCTTGATTTGTTGTAGAAGAAAATATTTAATTTAATATATGCCCAGATCTTTTTATATTAAAATTTCTTATATTTGCTCTTAGATGAATGGAAATGACCACAGTTTAAAATAACAGAACAAGGCAAAAAAAAAAATAAAGAGGACAGGATGATAACTTTTTAGATGACAACAACTTTGCATCATTTTTTCAATCAGCATCCTCCCAAAAGTACTGAGATTAAAAAAAAATCCTTATGATGTAATTGTCACATCACAAAACTCCAAGTCCTTTTGAAAACCAAGCGTCAATAAACTAGGTATTTTTACAGAGCCTTCTGAAGAGAGTAATGACACCTGATTGCATATAGAATGAAATCAGCTCAGGATGACTGGAGGATTTGTTCTTATGTTAGTACACATAAATATCCTTTCAAAGCACTTCTTAGGGGGATAGATACCAAAATGTTATACCCTGTTTCTATGAGAAGAAACTTTGCATTTCAGTATGTCTTAACCTAAGTAAGTTCTTTTCATTTTTGTGGTTTACGAGATTAATTTGCAGGAAATTCACATTTCAAGAAGCCATGTGAGTGGAAACATTGGCAAAGGAAATAAGTTTTAAGTTACAATACACTTCTCTGTGTTTCATGCTTCCATCACTCGGCAGGTGAGGCTTGTTGGTGGACTATACATCCTGCCTCTAAGCAACGATCTGAAGGAGAAAAAGTACGAGTTGGAGATGACCTCATCTTGGTTAGCGTGTCCTCTGAAAGGTACTTGGTAAGTGTGGGAACCACCGAGGATTGTGGACTTGGTGCTATGACAAGTCATTGCAATGACCTCTTCAGAGTTTATGCTGCAAATTATCTAGGAAAATTGCTTATAAATAAGCCTGCATCTCTATTTGGTGAGTTATAAATAACTCCTCATGTAGGAGAATAAATGTGCAAATGTGACTTACCAGCTCTGTTGAGGCAGGCATCCCTACTAACCTTGACATGTGTGTTCATGATATTGATAGTACCTCTTGATTGATTCTGTTATTAATAGAATGTGAATGCAGTCTAATCAGGAATTCCAAATTTCATGGTCTTTATTTTGTGCTCAATGTAAAGGTCATATTAATAATGTGATTACCTATTTTGATATTTATAAAAGTAATTTAATGCAAGTGAGAACCACTATGTTAAGGAGAAATAGATGCAATAAAAATAGTTTGTCTATCATTGACATTGCGTTATTTATAAGAGTAGTAGCTGGAAATGGGAAAATGTGTTTAATCATTCAGTGTATTTTAAATTTTGGTGGTGAGGCCAGTTAATTATTTAATTTTTTTAGTAAGTTGTGGTTTTATTAAAGAATAATACTATACAGAAGGCCATAGAAGATTGAAATCTGTGGAAGTATGTAGAAGTATGAAGAATACCAGTATAAAATACTACTTTTATTTTAAGGTTGAAAAAGTAATTAAACATGATATGAGATATTGTAAGCTTTGCATGAACATCCACATGCAAATTTCAGATGTGATATTTATGTGGTTGATGATTGAAACACAAATCAGAGGCAGAACATGTTACAGTGCCAAGAATCAAACTTGTGTGTGACCGATTAGGAGTAAGTGATTGGTACCTGTTTGCTGTATGAACATGGAAATATGGGGGGTTGGGGATGTTTTAAGTGAGTTTTGATTTACCAACAGCTTTAGTTTCAGCTTTCAAACATTTCTGGGGAGATTGGCTTTATTTCACTCACTTTTTAGAAGGAGACAATGATAAAGACAGGGAAGTGGCATAACAGTGCCTCATGTAACTGACAAGAACTGTTAAATTAAATGGAGTGCCTACTGTTGCAAAGCTATAGGGAGGCCTGAAGCATTTCTCTACTTTCATTTCCCAACTGATGTAAATGAGACGCAGATTTCTAGGAAATCCAGATGTGCAGATTATTCAATAAGCATTTATTAATCCCTTGCTATATGCCTGTGCTGGTTTGAGAAGTTGATGTATTTTTGATTAGGAGATGTGCATTTTGAATTGTAGTTGTTGTTGGAAGCCAATTGAGTAGAAATAATTCATGCAAACTTTTCAATATATAAATTCTACACATATTTTGATTTTGTACAACCTGTCCTTTTCACTATTTAGCAAAGTTTATTGGACAAGATTGTATTATTACACAATGAAGCATTAGAAAATTTGGAGCTTCACACAGATAGGAACTTCTAATATCAATTCTATAGCTGACCACCTGAGCAAGTCATGTAACTCCCTCAACTCTAGCTCCTTATTTGTAAAGTGGGGTTGATGTTAATGATAATATGTGATGCCAAGATTACTGTGAGGAAGCACTTAGATCATGAATTTGAATATGCTTCGAATTATAAAGCACTATACAAATAATAGCAATAATAATAATAATGGTGTACAAGGGTCACTTTCTATTAACTTTGGAGATAAACTCCTTATTAGTTAAGAAAATTACAACTTGCAATTTACATTTTGGTTAGTTAAGTTCTCTTTCCTTCATAACCTTCTAGATAGAGCTACAGAAGAGCAGCCTTTTTTTATTAAAACTTCACTTTCATTTGGTAATGAAGGAATGCTTTTACTATTCATCACTCCTGGAAGACCAAGGGCACAGCACACATAATTTCTGATTTCAAAGAATTATTGGAGGAAACAAACCATGTTAGTCAGCTTTCTGTCACTATGACAAAATACCTAAGATAAGCAATTCCAAAAGAAGGAAGGTTTATTTTAGCTCATGGTCTCCAGAAATTTCATTATCATTTGGCCTGATTGATTTGAGTCTGGGTTGAGGTAGATCATCATGGCAAGGAATGCACGGGAGAGCAAAGCTGCTCGTTGCCTGGTGGCCAGGAAGTAAAGAGAGACAGAGAAGAAGGGATGAGGTCTTAATATCCCTTTCAGGGGCACACACCCAATGACTTGAATTCCTTCCAATCAGATCCCCAGTCCACTACCTCCCAACAGTGCCGTCAACTGGGACCAAGCCTTCAGCACATAAGCCTTTGTGGAGTAATTAAGATCCAAGCCATAACATACACCAAAAACATATGCAAGTGTATGAGAATATCATGAGGCAATAAACATTTGTTGTGCTGCAGATTAGGGATGCTAAAGGAAGTCCCTCTGAGTGACAAATGGCTCATGAATATCCCAGGTTTCTGTTGTGATTGATTAGTAGGGTGTAGATAGAGTACCATGGACTTATATGGTAGACTTCAGTGATAAAGACTTAGAAAATAAGGGGGAAGAAGTGATGTAGTAAAAGGACTTTGAAATAGAGGCAGTTGGAACAATCCACTGAACCCCAAGTAACTTCAGATAGGTCGTATCCATATATCTTCATTCATCAGTACCAAGCCTGGCAACTATGAGCCTGGGCCACACATGTAACTTCTTGACCCATCTTGGAGGATGGGGAAAATAGAGAACTTAACTTAATAGGGGTTATAGGATTAAATGTTTCATTTCTAGCAAGGCTCTTAGCTCTTGTGTGGGTAGTTACTATCACTAGTTACCTGGCAGATTTGTGCTCATGGGAATGGTTAAAGTAACTGCATATATTTAATCACAAGAAGACAAAGTTGGGAAAGAGAGAGGCAAATATTGCAAGATATATTAAATAAAGATATGTTATGTGAAAATAAGATTTATATGCTAAGAAAATGCTGAAGTGGTTTAAAAATGGTTTAATTTTTCAATATGAAAACAAATTAATTAAAAATAAACATCTCCATTCATTGGCTACAACTCTTCAGTAGTCACTGACATCTGTTAGGTGATGTGCTGTTTTTCCTTCCCGATCAGCGATGGCTAAACTCAGGTTAAACTATGTAATTGTACATTTGAAATACTGTTAATATAGAACATTGGAATGCTAAATTGATTAAAACTGATTTAAGGATTGATTTTTTTTCTCCCCGTGCTCTGTGAAGGTGACTTATGGACAGAAGAGGACATTATGTCTGCTTTTTTAAGTTGGACGTCAAGACAGGATTTCTAAGGAATAAGAATTTAATCTTAAAAAATATTTGTGAACTACTCACCCAAATAATGTGTTTTCTAGTTTTTGCTGTTTTATATTCTAATATGAGAGGATGTCTTAATACTCTTTTCAGGAATATCCAAAAGGAAATCAATTTCTTTTTTACTTCTGTTGGGAATTTTGTCTTCTTTTAAAGAAGGCTTTAGCAAAGCAGCTTAAGTATAAGAGAAATGTACAATTTAAAGTATAGAAAGCAGGACAAGTGGGGATTACTACCTGATAAGGCATGCAAAACATTTTTTACACATGTTAGTTGTAGGACCATCCCATCTGCACAAAAATTTCCAGGCTGTGGATCAGGTTGCTGATTTCCTATTGATTTTCTATTGGGTAGGTCATCTATAGACAAGAAATGTTTTTACAATCCCTAAAAGTATTGCCCGACAAACAGCTGGTTAAACATAAATGAGAAAAACAGACTCTGTTAATCTATAGAAAGAAAGCTATTAATAGAGGTCATAAAAATTTATTCTACATCCCTCCTATCCACCTTGAAGTTTTTGATAAATAAAAAGATATTTTAATTGCATAATGGATTGCTGAATTGCCTCAAGTTGTATAAAAGCAGTGATAAAAGATAGTGATCATAAGTATGTGCAAGTGTTTTATTATGCCAGCAGATTCAATTTTGGAGGGAGGGTGATGAGGATTGAACCCAGAGCCTCATGCATGCTAAGTATGTGTTCTTCCATTGAACTATACCCTTTGGCCCTCTAATTCAATTTTGATTAATTTACTTTGAGCCTTTTTTGTTCTCTCTCTGTGGCTCAGATGATGAAATCATAGACTATTACATTTGGAAAGAGCATCTATCTGTATGCCCCTCATTTAGTTTGTCTCTTTCAGGAGAAAACACTGAAGCCTGAGGGGTCGGTCATATGACTTGTTTACTTGTGTTTTCTGTCCTTAGATGATAATTTATTCAGAATGCTGATCACCAGAGCCTAAGTGCCTGACATTTAATGAGAGATACATAAATGATAAAGCATGACATAAAGGTTCAGAGATTCTTAAACATTTTGTGGGCATGGACCCCTTTGGAAATCTGACAAAGCTTTTTAACCTCATATCATAATAATGTTTTAAAATGTATAAAATAAATACATGGAGTTACAAAGGAAACTAAAAATATCTGTGTATAATTCTATAGGCTTCAGGTTTAGAATTCCTGGGGGGTGACTTATAATGTAATTTCTATTTCTAAGAAAGTGTGCTTCTATTATATAATATCATACAAAACAAAGTTATTGGACCAGGTGGTCTTATTTTATTCCTTCTAAATTTGAATCAACAATTTTGACAAGATCCTCAGATGATTCATGTGCTTTAGAAATCCTGAAAACCACTAACATGATTAAAGGTGAGGCCAGGGAGTAGATGGCTGCCCAAATCCTTGATTCTGCAGTGTTGTTGTATGTTTGGATGGAGGTTACATTTTTCAGCCTAAGTCAGACTTTGCTTTCAGCCTCTGCCAACATCTATTTTTGCTTTAAGGACAACTCATTTTTGTTTCAGCAATTGAAACTGTTACTGCATTCTGAATATTTAATACCACAGGCCTGACTTGAGCTCTTCCTCTAATTTCTATTTGCTGTTTAAGCAGCAAAATTAAATAGAAGCATCCAAAGTTTTTATGCTCAGAGAATATTTTATTTTGAGGCATAGATATTACTTAGGTAGCTTTCTATGATTATATGTATGATTTGTCTTTGGGCTGAGGTATAATTTGAAAATTGCATTTCAGTTTCTCTACCGCCTCATCACTTTTCTAAAGCAGTAGCCACTCACTGCCTAAAATACATGGTCCCTGATCTGGGATCAGCCTTTGTCTGCAGGCGTATAAGTCCTCACTTCTAAGAATGTACCCTAGGCCCCAAAGGGGAGACTCTGCAGTCTAGAATGTTTCTGCCCCTTTGGGTGCAGCTTTTCCTTTGTCATACATTCCCCTTGTCAGATCTTGTTAGATGGTTAAGGCAGGCCAAGGCTACTGCCACTGACAAAGTTTCTAAAAAATGAAAAGTGGTCTACAAAAGTTTCTGTATGTTTTAAATATTTACACTTAACACATTAGCATTGTTATTATTCGTGTCCAAATCTAATGAATGCATAAACTTATTTGGAGACAGTGTCTTTAAAAAGCAAGGCCCAGGCCAAGGGATGCCATTTGCTTCCTCAGAGCCTGTGTCCCATGAGAAACCCCACCTCCCCTGTGGAAATTCCACCATGCCCTCAAGGATACACACATACACATCTATGTGGTCTTTTTTCATTAAGTATTGAAATAATAATATTTGTGGAATTACTTTAAAATGTTTTTTAAAATCTTATGCCTTTATTTTCAATGTTGGGGATTAATCCTAGGGCCTTGCATGTGTTAATCAGGTGGTCTGCTTCTAAAACTTATGCTGCTTTGACTTTAAAGGTTTGGTTCACTACTCTACATACTTGTTTTTTTGAATAACCCTGTTTAGGGTTAGGGACACAGCTGTGAACCTCTGTCAGATAGCATAGAATAAGAAGAAAGAAAAATACACCTAATAATTACATTGTATGATAATTGCTGTGAAAGACAATATAACCTGCTTGTTTGTGACATTAGGTAGGATATGATTAATTCATAGACAAAGAATTTTAACATGTTGGAAAAGAAATCAAGTCCTTAAAGGAATCTTAGCTGGGATTGTGCATAATAAGAATGATGAGGCTCAGGTGAAGAGGAGGTTGTACACAAGAGTATTTGTTTCTTTGTCATTGCTGTGACTAAAATCCCAAGAGTGTCAACAGATAAGGCTTATTTTGGCTCATGGTTTCAAAGGTATTAGTCCATGGTTGGTTGGCTCCCAGGCAGAAACACCATGGAGGAAGAGAGACAGGGAGAGAGTGGGGTGGGTGGGGACAGACAGACAGAGACAGAACACAAGAATGTACCCTTCCAGGTCAGGCCTTTCCATCTCCACAACATCTACCTCCCTGTTTCATATCCTTTCTCTTTTATTTTGCTCTTTAAGTTAGGTTTCAAGACTCATCCATTTTCCTCCAAATGACTCAAATTTATCCTTCATTTTGGCTGAATAGTACTTCATTGTGTAAAAATACATTTTCTTTTTTCACTCACCTATTGATGAGGATATAGGCTGCTTCCACACTTTAGCCATTATGAATTGCTCTGCTCTAAACACAGGGATTGATAATGTCATTATAATTAAAATCTTTAACTCTTTTGGGAGGGTACCCAGAAGAGGTATAGCTGAATCAAACCAAATTTCTATTTTTAATTAAAAAATCCTGCTTCCGAACACATGAGCTTTCTAGGGGACATTTTAGATCAATTATAACAACAAATAAGACAACCAGTGGAGGTTAAGGACAGGTATATGAGCAAGTGGTTGTTAAATCTCATACCTCACCTGCTGGACTTTTATTGATTTGAAAAAGTTACTGGTGATATAATTATGGATATGTCACACTGTCAGGAGTTTCCCTGTTTCTTTTTTAAGAGAAAGAAGCAAAGACCTGTTCTTGCTGAGGACTTGTGAACAGTCTACTTAAGTAAAGGAGCCCCTGAGGGTTTCTAGGTCAGTGGGTTCCACATAAGGTGTCTGCTTGAAGCTGTGACTGGCCTTTAACTTACTAGGATGGTCAGAATCCTAGGAAATAGCTGGTATGATTAAAGTCTTTAAAAGCTGAGGCTGTCACTAGCATTGGGAAGGTGTTGTCAAAACATTGCAGAGATGTTGATGATACTTTTTGGGAAGATTCCAGGAAAGCAGGCTGTGATTTCTCCATAGTTTTGAAATTGTAAAGGTAGCCAAATAGTGATTAGTAATATAAGCAAGTCATTTGGCTGTACTTGTACTTTTTTTCTTGGTTAACATTTGATAGACTCCCATATTATGTCTCAGAGATATTAAATATGATATTGTTTTAACATATTTCTATTTTTAAGAAGGAGAATCTGAAATTTGTAATATTTGAGTTTTGGAAGAAATTTATTATCACTTTCTCATAGCTGCTGGGAAATATTGCCATCTAATGGCTGTTACATCAAATTGCAGATAACAGCTCCTAAAGGACTCCACAAACTGAAGACATTGGTTCAGCAATGTGTTCATCTACTTTGCCCATAAACTAGTACAGTGTGATATGGAGAAAATTTACCTACAATTTTAACTTCCCACGGTCTATACCACTTTGTCCATCAACAAGTCTTAATACAAAAGTCATCTCTCTTCAACAAATAAATTTATTTAGTATATTTCTTATCTTTGTTTTCTGATTATTAATTTAAGTTAGTAACTTCTAGAATGAAGCTGAATAATATACCTACTGTCAAATAGGAACTTTCATTATTATTTTTTACTACTAGTCTTTTAGTTTGTGTGTGCTTGTGTGTGTGGTACTGCTGTGGTACTGCAGATGGAACCTAAGGTCTTCACAGTGAGATTATCCTGAGCCCATTTATTATTTTTTACTTTTGAGAAGGTCTCACTGAGTTGCTAATTTGTACAAGCTGGGCTTGAACTTGCAATTGCTCTGCCTCAGCCTCTCAGAGTGTAGGGATTACAGGCATGCACCACCAGGCTTTAGCTGTTAATCAACAGGGATGAACTAGTTCTCTGCAGGTAGTTCTAAATCTGCAGTGTTGTGCTCACATACTGAGACTTATCAGTGGTGCCTCCTCTTGCCTCTTGCTGCAGCACTTGTCCTATGGCAATGGCAGTTTGCATGTGGACGCAGCCTTCCAGCAGACTCTTTGGAGCGTGGCCCCTATCAGCTCAGGAAGTGAAGCAGCCCAAGGTAATGACGCACTTCAGTTAGGGACTGAGCCTCAATGTACAGTTGATGGTGATCTTTGGAACGGTAAGAATGAGTGGGTTGTTAAGTAGAGATCTTCATGTCAAATATTCTCTCATGCAGATACGAGATGTGAAGAATCTTGTTGAAATTGCTCTTTCAGAGTGAAGCTTGTGCTAAGATTTATGTTGCCTTATTTTTATGCCATTGTCAACTTGAGTTTATGTGTTAGCTTCCTGCATCAGCTTTCTACCAGCTGTTTTCGCTATAATTTTTTGGCCTCGGGATTGATCCATTCAGTTGTTGTTTCTCACTTTCCAGATTCCTACCTTAAAGCTGGATCACAACAGGTTTATGCAGCAGAGGTCCCAGGGCAGTATCTACCTTTGTCCTGGTTGTTCTCACTTACATAGGTTCAGATCTGATCCTGTACATTTTTTTTTTTTTGATAGAGAGTTTTACATGGCTGAGGTCAGGGAAATCACTAACAGTGCTCAGAGGTGCCAGCCAGCACTGGCCACCTCTGGGACATTGGCCAGGTACTTACACCTTTCTGGAATTCTGTCCATGAAAGTAGAAGATTGGACCAGATCATGTGTCTAGCTACCAACACCTAACCAGGACAGTGCCTATGTAAATGACTTTTAATTAATCCTTACAGGGTATCTGATTGGTGGTGATGTCCTGAGGTTGCTGCACGGACACATGGATGAATGTCTCACTGTTCCTTCAGGAGAACACGGTGAAGAGCAGCGGAGGTTGGTACTTGTTGTGCTGGCATTTATGTAGTTGGCACATTTTTATTTTGCCTTGCTATAAATTTTCTTAACTAAGAACACAGGATGTTAGCATAACATAGAGTGGACCATGGACATACATCTGTCCTCTGAGGTGACCCATTTCTTGCTCTCCTTGGAAATGTTTATTCTTATGTTTTTCTTACCTACCAGTAGAAGAGGAATTGAAAACTTTTATATAACTAAAATACATTAAGATGCGTTGAGCAAAGTAAAATGAGTGGGAGGACTGAACACGTTCATCTACTTAAATGTTATTAAATATTCATCAATTTTGATTATTTTTCTAAGAAGTTTAATATCTAATTTAGTTTCAGAGTCAAAAATTCTCAAATTGTGCAAAATTTCAAGACTTTTCTGCACCTCCCTTTTATTGACACATAATGAAATTTACTACTTTCCCCCATATTTTATGTGATACAGTATCTCTCTTCTGTTAATACTATGTGGCAGTGAGACAAGATGAAAGTAGTCTGAATCCACTGGGAGGAAATGCACAAATATTATAAAACTATAAAAATACTTGGGGTGATTTGATGCTGCTGGTTCACTTCACAAATTAATCAGTGAATTATTAAGTTGAATACATCTGTGAAGGAGAGCATAGTGACAGAAGGCTTTGGATAGCTTTTTGTGTGTCTTTAAATTCATATTATTAATATGGATGCTTGGGTAGCTTGTTTAATAAATAATTATTATAGTTATTTAATTAAAAAGGCATAAGGAGCATTTAGAAAATTCATAACTATTTAATGAGCTCAGGAAAAGTCACTCTGAGACCTGGTACTCAGGCTTACTTCTTCTGGGGGGACCTTGCTTATGGTGAAGAGCACTGCAGAGTCTGGGAAATTCCCTAGGTTAGGAAGAAGATGTTGATGGTGGTAAAAGGTCTTATATTAAAGATGAGGAGGATATCAAGCAGCACTTGTCTTGAGGATTTCATTGCAAACAGAAGGGTAAACATAAGAGGCAGCATAAGGGATGGGGGTAGCAGAGTGATGTGGCAGGGATTGGAAGAGAAGGTGGAAATGAGAGAGGGGTTTGGACAGTTGCGTTGATGTTCCTTGGGCTGGCTTTTCCTCTGAGGTGGCTGGGAAGGGTCATGGGGCTGGGGTGATCACAGCTGCGATAGGCAAGAGAGGTCTGGTGTGGTTGCACACATCTGTCATCCCAGCACTCTGGGAGACTGAAGCAGGAAGATCACCAGTTGGAGGCCAGTCTGGGTAACTTAGTGAGACCTTGTCTCAAAAATTCTAAAAAAAGAGATCAATCCCCAGTATCCCTTATCCACCCCAAAAAAGAAAAGAGGGCTCTGGGGTGTGTGTGTGTGGGGGGGGTCAGAGTCAGGGGAAACAACTAGAAGAGAGCTGATGCAGTATTTCATATCACAAGAGGTAAGACCCTTAACTCCAAGAGTACCCTCAGGATGCAGAAGACCACCTGAGCCAGAGCCATTCAAGTAAAAATAAAAATGTGGACTGTGGGAGAATTTGTCACAGGCAGAGCAGCATGATATCCTGGTTCTAGGAACATCAATGACACTAAGGATGGCAGGAGATGGCACATGTTGCTCTGAAAGGCAGGATTAAACTGCACCCAGGTAGTACAGAGGGTCCATGGGACATCAGCCCATGGAACATGGGCCCCATACAATTTTGGTACACGGGACATGGGATGTCAAGCAGGAAACCGAGGTATGGTTTTCTTTGGTGTGGAGAAAGTATGGATTGAGTATAAGCCACAAATACATGAAAATAGTTGAAGGAATGTGCATCTATTGTATGGTCACTCAGAAAGAGAGGGAGGAGCCAGTGCTATGGGGATGTGTTCAGCAATCTAGTGCTAGCCTTCAAAGGCTGAGGGCCCCTGGAATAGACCTAGCAGAAAGCTGAGCTGAGAAGCCTGCAGAACACTAGTACTTCGGATGTGCATGGAAGAGGGAGGGTCAGCAAGAACACAGAAGGATGGCTGAGTAGAGAGGGAGGGGAGTAAGCTGTGGAAGCCAAAGAAGGACTATGATGTGGCTGTGTTAAATGCTAGCATGTATTTACATGGAGTTGGGGGCTGATTTTTGTTCAGTGGAGGACTGAACCAATGGATTGTTGGAGGCCTTCTGGCCATTTCTGCAGACACCATAAAGATCTGTGGTTAGGCTGACTGACTGTAGAGTCAGACAGATTACCTGTGTGACTCATACAGGTGACTTAGTGTCTTTAAACTTTGCTTTTCCCCATGGTAAAATGTAGATTAAATATCAGCTCCTCCTACACAGGGCCATTGTACAGATTAAATGAGAAAATGTGCAAAAAATATTCACAGCTTATGAAGAGAGCAACAAATTTATTGTAATGGTTGTTATTGGTATCATTATTCCTCAGATTGTAGAGGCAGCATTTAGCCAGCCGTTATGGAAAAGATTGAGGAATCCTGATCATGTGGATAAAAGTATGGGAGAGCCTAGCCTTTGCTGGATAAGAGGCCTAACTAGACCAAAGAAAGCCCTTTGGGCAGCCAATTATGACTGTAGAGAAAACTATAGGAAATTTCAAACATGTTTTCATGTTTTTTGGAGGTCTCTCCTGTTGCATACATGTTTAAGCTTGCCCTTCCACCCCAAATACTAGTCTTGATTTAATGCTGATGATTTCCATATCAACTTAATGTCAGCATGTATTTAATTAAACATGTTGAGACTCTTACGAGGTAATGGTGACAGTACAAGTATATCTGTTTGTGTCTTTTTTGATAGCATGTTCACATGGGTGATATTAAATTAAAATACATGTCAGATCATGACTTAAAATGAGGGGTGGGGATTTAGCTGAGTGGCAGAGCACCAGGCTCGCAAGCACAAGGTCCTGAGTTTGATCCCTGGTAACCCCCACCCCCGCCCCCCCAAAAAAGAAGAAAATGAGTCAGAAATAATATGGCGCCTCCAGGGACATTGATAAAGAAAGAAGAGGTATATTTGTCTTGATTATATAGTGGGATTAAGTAATTATTTGCACATAATGATGAAATAATTCCTTAAATTTTAAGTTTATGGAATACGTTATTATTTCAAATTAATATCATTATGGAGACATGTAAAATTTTTCCTCTGTTCTTACCAGAAGCCATTGCCTGAGCCTTGGGGAACTGGAGAGGTAAAGGACAGCTCGACCTAGAGGTGGCATTTCTGTAATTCATGTCAATCTGTTGGAGAGCAAAATGCATAATGATGATCTAAAATATATTTTGACTCATTAAAACAACAAAAAATAATTAGATTTTTAGACAGGGGTTTGAAAGCTAGGGAAGTTGCATGCAAGTATGTAAAATTTTCTTTTGCCTCTAAGCCCTTTGTTGTAGTTTTGAGAAATAGTGAAAATGATTAAGGAGCTAGCCAGTGGTAACATTTATTTCTGAGCAACTTAGGAATATTTTGAACATCACTGTTGTATTCTTAAATGGATTTGTCAGTTTTCCCTGCCTCGTTCCACTGATAGGTATTGACTATACATAACTGTAATTGCAGCTGTTGAAAATGCAGTTCAGTAATAGGTCTTAGAATTCATGGTATGTTTAGGTTAGTCCTTAACCAGCTCTTCACATTGAGAGGTGTATGTATAAGTGGTTAATCATTTATTCTCATAAAGAATATTAATAAGACTCTTATAATTGAGAGCCGTGTACCCTTCAGTTAGGTAGAACTGAGTTAGAGAATGAGACCTATCAAAGTTAATTAAGCTAAAAGGTATTTTATCATACTTCTTGTCCATATTAAGTTCATTATAGACTGAATTCTGACATGCTCATGAAATATAATGTCACTATTGTTTTAAGTTTCTTTATATTTTTTCCAAGAAGACATGGTACACTGAATTTTTGAAATATAATGTGTCCAAAACATTAAAGTGGTAAAGATAGTCTGTAGCAGTTGTGAGTGGTCAGATAAAAGGAAGTGATGTTTTGAGTATTAACTATGGGATAAAAATTTCTATATTGTTGCTTAGACCTCACGAAAATGAGAAAAGTTAAGGGGACATAGGTTCTGGTAGTTGGTAAGGGATTTATCAGATACAGCATAGTTTTTCATTATTGCTTCTGGAGTCTTGAAGTTTGATTATCAAATTTTATTTGAACCATGATATATTGTATATGGGCAGTATCTTCTGTTCTAGATGTCTCTGATTTGCTTATCATTAATTCTATCCATAATTTTATGTGAATGTAATAAAATATCAACACGGGTATTTCTTTATGTGTACACATATTTATGTATTGCATATAGACTATATGAATTAAGTACTTTTTAATTAGTTAATTAATTTAGTGTTACTGATACTAGAACATAGGCCCTGTACATACTAACCAAGTACTCTAACACTGAGTCAAACTCCTAGCAAGTTAATAAAAAAGATAAATTGGTGGAATATTATTTGGGATTTCTTCTGTGGAAACTAGTATTAGGGGAGAAAAGGATTATTTTTATGCCCAAAATAAGTTTATTACATAGCTTGTACATAATTTTATTCATTCAGTAAAAATATCTACAATAATCGAGTTCTGGATGCTGGGGCTCTGTAGAATATAGAAAGAGACAAAAGAGTGTTCTTTCAAGGAGTTTGTATGCTGGTGGAGATATGTGACCATGAAAACATAAATATGTTTGTTTATAAATACACATGTACCCATGTACACGGAGATAAAGTGCATTAGATAAAAAATACGGAGAGAAATGAAATGGAAGGTAAAGGAGCACATTCAGGTGTGTTGTGGGTTTTGTGGAAGAGAAGTGGGAGAACAGAGAGGTGGGGCTGTCCTGCCCCCATCTTAGCAGATATCGCTCTTTGCATATATTTTCTGTGGCTTGTTACTTTATTCCTGATGTTATCTGCAGATAAATGTTACATCTGATTTCCAGAATGTGACTCAGTAGAGAAAAGCCATGTTATACGTGTACATAACAGTGTTTTTTA